TTAGGGTGATGCTGAAGACTGTTGGGTTTTGGGTTTTGGGTTATGCTGAAGACTGTTGGGTTTAGGGTTTAGGGTGATGCTGAAGACTGTTTGCAGCTTCCATGCTTCACAGCTTCCATAGGCCCTTTTTATAAGCCCAAAGCGACAGCAGCTCTTTTTGCAGAACTCCGTGGGGGCATAGAATACTAACGCAAGCAACAAAAATAGTATTTCTTCCTAGCCGGAGACTCAGGGTTCAGCGTTGGCGCTGCATAAGCCAACTTGGGAGGGTGCTGCTTATGGGTGAAGGGAAGATACTTCAGTGCCCAGTCAGGGTGGTATACATTTCAGGACCTATGGGTTTATTCTAAGGGTTTCGGGTGGCTTACGGTTCAGGATCGGGGCTCGAATTTCCGTGCGGGCGTTTGGGTTTGGGCGACTTGGGCGCCGTGCTGCGATCGATGTGGGCATCCCGGACGAAAGGATAGCAGGCAGGGTTTATATCGGTTTGTTACAGGAACCCGAAGGCTTTCATATAGGGGCCTTCATAATCAGCATGGGGTATAAGTGCAAAGAAGCTAGCCACCCAGGTCCTCATCCCCACCATTTCATTGAGAACCTTACAGCATTCCGAAACTACACCTTGCAACGCCTGAAGCAGGCGAAGACGCGTGGAATCCCGAAGTCGAAGACCTGCAACAACCAAGCTGATGCAACCCCGTTGCAAGTTTAGGGTTTAGGCCTCGACAACGTCGTCCTTGCTGCCCTCCAGCTTTCCACCGGCCTTTACAGGGAGTCACAGCTTGAGGGGCCCTCGCGTTACTTGCAAGCTGAAGGGGGTTTTCGAAGTGAGGGTCTAGAGTCTATCGGAAAGGCTCTGCGCTGCCCTGCCCATTGAAGGGAGGCTTCGAAGGTTGGGGTTTTTGTTCCGGATCTCCGGGTATGTGCACCGCTCGAGTGGCCCAACAATCCCCAGATACAGCCTTGGCAGGGCTGTGTTCGACCCTTGTCCACGTCATTGGGTGGTGGGTGGGGTTTTCCGGTTCGATTAGAGCCTGATTAGAGCTTTGAGCTGTTCCTTACAGGGTTCGCGGTCTCGGTTGTCAGAGCCAGAACTCACAAAGCCGAGCCCGAGCCCCAAGACTGCACTTGTACAAGGGTTCTGTGCTTGGGCAGTGGTGCTGATTCTGAAAATAGAACCCCCACCACCCTCACCCCAAAGATGTTGTCCGAAACAACTTGAACCCTGCCTGCTCTATCCAACTCCGACAGAGCGCGCTGACCATGGCGCGGGCGCTGTCCGGACCTTTCACATGGGCATTTCAACAGCACTTTCCCGTCGTACCGCACTCCGACAGCACTGAAGGGAACCGAACCAAACCGTGCTTGGAGGGAGGGTGGAGATTCAGGGCTTATTATTTTTGGACTTAGGCTTTCTGGTCCTGGTCCTTGAGGTGTTGTTTTTTTCCCTCCCACTTAGCCAGGACGAGCCCGAGGTGTTGAGGGTGCAGGGTTTGAGAGGTTTAGGCCTTTTGTGAGATGGAACCTGTGAGCTCTTGGTCGAGGCCCCGGCTGTCGCTGGGAGTGCCCGGGGCATTCTTTACCGGAGCGAACTCTTCCTCCCGCTTGGTCTCCAGGATCGCCTGGCTCAAAACAGCTCCATGTTGCTCACTTAGGGGCCGAGTCCCTTAGTCAAAAACAAAACGGTTAACCTTTTGAATTATCATAGGTCTATATAAGCCCCAAACGGTTAAACTAAGCTCATGTCAACCCTGATAGTCGATGAAGACGAGGATCAAGATGAAGGTGGCGATGCTGACGCGTTGGTTGCAGAGGTCATCATGGTTCTCATGAGGACCAGAAGGAAAATGCCAGCTCAGAAAATTATGACGAACATGATGAAGATCATGATGACCATGGCGATGACGATGATGATGATAATAATAATGATGATGATGATGTTGATGATGACGACGGTACCGTGACCATGAGGAGGACGTGGCGGAGACGGACGCCGAGGACAACGGTCATGAAGATGCTGCTGATGAGAAGGATCGCGGCGGTCTGCAGCAACAGCAACAACAAACATCGTCAGGATCACGTCCCCCTCCCTCCCCTTTCCACAGGCCTAAACCCTAAACCCTAAATAAACCCTTCCCCTCCCTAAACCCTTCACCCTAAACCCTAAATACCTAAACCCTCCCCCCTCCCCCCCTCCCTGCATTTTGTTAGGCTGAGCCCTCAACGCCTAATGCAGCGAGGCATGCTGGAAGTGCCTGGAAACCTGCGGTTCTTGTTAGGAGATCTAATTGAAGTTCCCATAAGAAGGAAACCATATCATATTCGTTACGATAGATCTCTATTATGGCAAACTTAACTAAAACCCCTTAACAAGAGCCCAGTAAGTACCTTCTTAAAGCCCTCATCCATCGGGAGGGATCCTTGGGGCTCTGAATCCTGGCCCCAGAACCACCCCCCCGCCCCAAAACAAAAAACAAAATCGATATACGCCGGCCGGGATCCCAACCATCTTGCTGCTCATTGGAAAGACGTCGAAGACAAATGCCTCCAATTTCAGGCCTCGGAGAGAGGCGCTTTTTGGTTCAAGGGCCTGTTCCTGAGATGTCGCACATAGACTTATGGTCAGGGGCTGTGGATTTTTGGGGTTGAAGGGTTAGGGTTAACAATCACCTTACCTCAGTGCTACACCCATGTCCCGCTCAACAAAGCCAACTACCACGACTGCCGCAGTGGCAAATCGCGAGCATTCAGAAGGTAAGGTGAGGTTGAACCTGCCCTAGCCGTGATGGAGAAAAATCCTATACACCCTAAGCACAAACCCCCCCAAACCCTAAAGAAAACAACCTTAAACCCTAAAACCTACCACCCCTGAACACCGAACTCGTGGTCCGACCGAAACACCCTATAGACACCTACATATCGAAGCCATGCTAAGCCGTAGGTTTCATCTTAAATCCTCAATATTCCTGAGCCTAAACCGTAGCCCGACATACTTTCATCTTAACTCCTCAGTGATCCTGAACCCGCTTCAACTCTTCAATAAACTAAAATATTCCCTTGCGGCCCTTCCTGAACGTGAACGCTCAGCACTGTAAACTGGGCCCCGGAAATTTCCGCATCTGACACGTAAACCTCTGCTATACATCTCCAAACTCCCAACACCAGAAACCTAAATCCAAGGCAGCTTCATGCTCTGATAACTTGAGCCTCACATTCAACCTGTAGTCGCCCTGGAGATCGCGACGCTGCCAGACCGACAGGAGCAACCGGGCTCCCTTGCCATTGTTGCTGTCCGGCTTCACGGTTTTGCCGTCTTCCCCGGCACAAGGAATCCTAGAAGCGAACACGAAGCGGCACTTTGGATTTTCAGGTTTAAGGCTTAGGGGCTTGGGCTTAGGGTTCGGGGTGTCGGTGTAGAGTTTTAGGGTTTAGGGTGGACGGCTAAGGGTTTATACACGCAGACACGCCAAGGGTCCAAAAGTGAAATCAGATGAGCGATCCTGCCATCGAACACACCGGGACCAAAGAGTAGGCTTTGGAGTTCAGGCGGTCTCTGAACGTGAGCTGGTGTTTGTTTGGTGACCTAGAGAGCCCAATACCCCTTAATTAAGGAATATGCCTTAAATCATAATATTAAGGCCCCTGTAAATTTAAGTTATATTCCTTAATTAAGGGGTGTTGGGCTCTGTGGGGACTTCCTGGCAACACTCGGGTTGGCTTCGAGGAGACCCAGCAGATCACCAAAGGGACCACAGTTGGTGCTGAAGTCTGAGCGGCTCAATGCGTCCGCTCACCGCTCACTGCCTTAAGACCTTGAACGACGCTAGCCGAAGACCTTGCACACCGCAGCCACAACCCGACGTTTCGATGGCAGTCATGTAGAGGCCAAAATAATCGGAACAGGATTTTGGGGTACATTAGACCACAAATATTATAAGAAGCTCCCAAACTACTATAGGTAATGGCTTGTAGGGCCCCTACATTACAGGCCTCTACCTTCGAACCTGAGCTCTCAAACCTATAAGCTCAGACCTCGGACCTACCCTGCTGGTGCAAGGCTTGCTCAAAGCCAGGCTTCTTCTTGTGCGCGAGATGGAACATGGCCGCCATGTTCGGGACAACGACCTAAGCCAATGACAGCAGAGCAGCGGTTCTTATAGGGTTTAGTTTGAGGGCCCCTTTGCAACTGCACAAGTTACTGCATAAGACTGCTCCGAAAACCTTTGTCATGCGATCACCACGCACCGAATCTTGGCCATGCAAAACATCACGGCAGGTGTGCCGGAACAGGAGTGAAGTACAGGCATGATATGACACAACATAATGTTGTACTCATCTTCGGACGGCAGGATCGAAGGCTGCAATGGAGGCGGATACAGAAGTGCCCTGAAGAAGCCTTTTTCTGCTGCTGGGCTTGAGGACTAGCCAGATCCGCTCGTAACCCAAGCCCTGAAATGCTGAGATTCGAGCTTATGCCGCTGCAATCCCCAAACATGCCCGAAACCCCCAGAAAAACCCTGAATCCAACCTTGCAGCCGCCTCATTGCCCTGAACTAGGCCCTAGACCCAAAAAGAGAGCGGACATGCGGGTCCCCGGCATTCGCCAAAAAGTCAATCGAGAAGAAATGATTGCAAATATTGCCGGCCTCGGGCGGGATGGCACAAGAGTCACGAGACATGATGCGAAACCCAATGATTCTCGCACTCACGAGTGTTGAAGTGTCTGGGGATATAAAACCTGAGTCTTCTACCCGACTATGGATTGCGGGACGGACAGGACAGCTGGGCTCTGGGACCACGAAAAGGCAGGGAAGGCAACGCTAACCCTCTGCGTGCGTTACCTTTCTTTGCAGCAACGGCTTCCTCCATGTGACCTTCACAGTCACGGTGCTGCTGGAAGAGTGGTCGCTTACAACGGTTCTAGTCGCGACAAACTACCGATCTAGCGCAAGCTCCCTAAACCCGGAAGCACGAACCCCTTCTTAGCCTAAATTCCATATTCACGCTGCTGAGCTTGAAGCTCCGAAAGCCAATCTTCCAGTACCATCAAGCTGGTTCTTCCGCGCATCGTCCAGCTCACCTGCCGTCTCTGGGCTGTAACGTGAGGCCGTGCATTCGAGGAGAAGGGATGGAGAAAACTTGCAAAGCAGCTAAGCAGCCACTACTGAAGTCACCAACCCACCGCTTTAAACCGAAAACCATGCCTGGAACACTGTGTAGCATGCATGTAGAGTGCTTTAGATTGGGAAGTCGACCACCTCACCCGACCCTTGCTTGTGACCAAAACCCAATAAATAAAGGTTCAAACAGGCCAGTCGTGCTATACTCCACCACACTCGGCCGCCCGCCCTTCTTGGCCACTACACCAACCTTCTCCTCCGGACTTGCCTTCCAAACCTCGTCGGACTTTGCTGCTACGGAACATACCGAATACGGGTCAGGGTTTCGGAGCGCCACGCACGACTAAAAACGTGCGTTGTCCGTCTCTGAAAGAAGCGGGGAGTAGAAACTCTTGAAGTTGCAACGACAAGTTTGTGGGCAGGTTTGCAACTAAAGTTCATTCGCCCAGGGCGCTCCGTAGCTGGTTTCAGCGTTGTGCTTTTTGGAGTCTGTGTTATAGCCATGCCTTCGCTTTCGCATGCTGATCTATAAAGGCCCCAATGCCGACATCCAGGAGCCGGGCACATTTGTTTCCACAGTCGGCGCTCCGGGCGAGGCAGTACCTAGGTCCCGTGGATGCAGTCAATGGGGTTCGGGTGCCTAGGACTCAGGGCTACACGGGTTTAGGGGGTGAGGGTGAAGAGTTTGGGGCTTTAGGGGGTTGCTGTGAGGGTTAGGCTCGGGTTAATTATGGGTGTTAGGGTTGAGGGTTTAAGTAATTCAAGTCTGTTTAGGGTGTCAGGGTTTCGGCCAAAGATTTGCAAGTTATGGGTTTGGCGTGCGAGGTTTCTTACATCGGAACACCACGACGGTGGTTTTGAGCATGGGATTGGGAGAGATCGCGGGCGAAACCTTGTACCAGAGTTCTTCTGCAAGCATCAGACACAGAGATTTCAAGACGTAGGAGGCACTGAGCTAGGATCCTTGGTACAAACCCCATATGGGAAAAGTTGCCGACTTTTCCGTAACACGCTCTGGCCAAGGCTCTGACCCAACGAAGCATGGGTCGGCAGGCCGGCAAAGAGGATTGTCCACGGAGAAGACATGCAAACTCTTCACCTTCTCCCCGCACTCTTGCTATACTTACAGGCTTACAGCAAAAAAGGTGGCAACCGCACGGCTGGCAATGCTACTAGCACCCCATCAGGTCCACGGCCACCATCAACATTATCGCCATGGCAGCCATTACCGTCATGAGCAACTCCGTCATCATCACCATCATCATCATCATCAACAACATCATCAAGCAGTAGGGCTGAGACATGCAAGAGTATACTGGCAAGGGCTGAAACTTAGCAATACCCACATAGTGGTAGGAAGCACAGGCACCCACTTTGTGTTGCAAAGTTCGCAGATCCATGGCCGGTCGATTGGCAAGCATCCGCTGGGAAACCCTCGAAACCACTTCTAGAACCCTTAATCTTAATCCCTATAAACCCTAAACCCCTAAACCCTAAACCCCTTTACATAATCTGAGAACCCTTGAGGGCGGACTCGGTGTCTGCAGTTCCAAATCTTCTTACACCTCGCCCGGCACAGCTCGGAGGTCCGAGACCGATACGTAGAAAAAGCAAACTTGCCCAGAACCTCCAGGGCTATCCGGGCCCAAAGCCCAAGACTTTACGGCTTTCAGCTCAGGTTCCTATCTGCCGGACAGAACCCAGAGAGCCCATACCTTATAAATCATAGTATTTAAGCCCCGATTCTGACAGGTATATTCCGTATTTAAAGGGTATTGGGCTCTCTGGGAAGCTGATGGAAGTCCAAGTCCTCCCTGAAATCCGGAATCGAAACCCAGCCGGACCCCGAGGGATTGGAGACGACCCAGGCAGCCGCTCCGTTGGAGCGCCTAGGAGTTGGGTTCTTTTTTTTTGGGGCTGCTGTGGGATTGCGGCTCCCATGTAGGATTTTTTGGCTCTGTTCTAGGATAGGTCCCTCTCGCATGGCTAGGTTCTAGGATTTAGAAAAGGTTCCTCCCTGGGATTTTTGACGCTCACACTCGGACAAGTCCAAGCAAGGTCTGCAAACATTTGGGATATACGGTGTAGGATTCCTGTTCACAACAAGGCACCGCCAGATGCAGGATTTGGGTTGGATAAAGGCCTCACTCAGTAACAGTTGAGTAGCATTCATAATATGGATACATAAAGCCCTGAATAGTAGCCCCATTATAGACTGCTACTGTATGGGAGCAGTACCCAAGAAATGATTTGGGGTTTATGGGGGACTCCAGTCAACTTCTTGTCGGCTGGACCTTCGGCGGGTTCACGGCGAACGGTCGGATGGGATGCTGCAATGTTGGAGGCTGTTGTAGCTGAAGCAAAAGAACAGAGGATCGAGTTTGGGCTGTTTCCGGGACATTCTATGATGTACTCGTCTTAGGCCAGCATTAAGGGCCCAGGCTTTTTAAAGCCCTGGGGAGTGCAGGATCAAACGACGGCCTCATGATCGACTACGATGCCGACCAACATCCACAACCGAGGAGTCAAAAAAACACCTTCAACTCTCATCTGGGGATTTGAGGGGATAGCTTAGACCCTAAAATTACCCAAGAACACGACGCCCCCAAGCCCAAACCCTGCAACCGACAATCTGAGGCCCCCAAAACCCCGTCCTCAACCTCGCAAAACCCCGGCCACGAGAGAGCCGCAGGTCTGAAAGAAGATTTACTGGGTTCTTGTTAAGGGGTTGATACTATAGATGCCTATGATGGTAACTTAATGAAATCCCTATACCCAATTTAACAGTAACACCGCAAGAGAGCCGAGCGGGATAAAGACCACCGTTGCCATCCGGATTCGAAGCCACCGTGCCTGCCGACCTCGAGCCAACGCGGGTGGCTCGCTTTCATTTGTAGTTCTGGGTCCCCTGTGGGGTTTCGGCGCTCACGCTCGGACAATCTATGGCCTGGGGGTGTTCCAGTGTAGGGCTTCAACTTGGATGGGGATGGACCCTAACTATCTTTGTCCAAAAACTCCTTAACAAAAGGACCACCAAAAAACTGGATGCCCTATCTTTGTCCAGAAAATCCTTAACAAAAGGACCACCACAAAATCTTGAAGGATCCGCTCACATTCAGCGCTGACGAGACTGAGCTCCAGTCTCGAGAATGATCTTTCCGTCCGGAGACAGACATGGCATGGTGCCCTGCTCGAAGAACCATACCTGGATAGGGGCCGAAGCTCCAAAAACCTGGAGAGTCAGAAAGGAACATCGAACATAGACTCAAGGAGCACCGACAAGGGCTCCCCCACGGAAGTTTCACTGTCACCGTTGTCTTTTTGGGAATGCCCCGTAAGGTTTTGCGCTCTGTCTTTTTGATTTGGGCGGCACTAGATGAACAAACCTGGGAGCGATTTCTCTCTCTCCGTCCCTCCCCCTCTCCGTGCCTGGTATCCCCAAACCCCTAAACTAAACACTATAAGCCTAGCTCCTCTCTCTCTCTCTCTCTCTCTCTCTCTCTTTTCTTTCGCCAGGGCTACGGGCAAGAGTTGCCCCTTGCCCGCGCGCGTCAAGCGCCCCCGACTGTTGCGGG